GTTCCCTGTTTAGCAATCTGGATAAATTGTTATTCAGTGTCTCTTTTTGCCTTAAAGCCCATTGAATATACTATAGAAAAAGATATTGCTCAATTTTACCTGCAGGGCTTTTCTAAGCCGGTTTAATCTGCACTACAGACACTTCCCATCAGCTTGTCATATTCATACCAGCAGGGTGGTTTACATTGATTATAATGGTGCATGTAGTCTCTGTCATGGACACCAGTATTCCAAGAGTGCCTGCAACTTGATTCCGGGGGATGAATGATTTCAAAATCACTCTTTGACTACATAAGACCTAAAATAATGATAACAAGTATCCCCCTTAACACCACCCACACTTAACTCCAATATCAAAAACTGCCACCACCTGTTGTGGAAATAAGGTCTGCACATATTTCCTAGTTAATGAAAATGTCTATTTACTCATTTCACGATATATAATATAAGCTATGCACACATGTTTTAATCAAGATGGCTGCTAGAAGCTTCTATCCCCTCCTTTCTCCCCCCCTCCCCTTTAACACCGACTAACTACCTCGTGCAGCAAGATGGCGCCGGGAAACCGTGGGAGACCCTCATGGCCCTGGTGACATCACCCTCAGTAGGCAGAGCATTAGAGCAACCACTTAACACCTAACCAATAATTGATGTATTATTCCATGTTATCTCTGACAATGCTTATGATGTAATTTTGCTTTAAAAGGGACCTGCCGTCCCCTCTGAATAAACGTTCCTCAAGTTATTCAACAACCTGGAACCTGTGTCTGGTGTGAATTACTTCAGGGAGCGTGCACGCATTGTTTCATTGATTTGGCCAGGGGCAAATACACAAAGAAATAATCAATACCTTGATTGATTTTTCCATTTCACAAAAACTGCCACCACCAAAGTAATTTTCAAATGAGGTACCTTAGCTTACCCCACCAAAGCAGGTTTAAAAACCTACAAAATGGGGGGCAGAGCCAAGCTACTGAACAGAGCAGACATGGGGAATCTGTGCTCCTGCATTTTGAGCCCAATTTGGGGAGCTAAAGCCTGATTACTGACAACAGAACCCAGCCAAGGGCACTACCTGAACCCAGTACCTTAATCAAGCCTGTAACCTGAATGTGGCCTGGGCACCTCTGCTGCAGCCTGCTGGGGATGAGACTGAGGAGAGGCGGCCGATCTCCTTGTTCTTAAACCTCGGGTCCGACCTCACAGCTATCCTACCCCTTCCCCCTTTGGACTGGCGGGGGTTATCCCTGTCCCCACTGGCATACCTTGATGACCTGCCCTGCACTTACTTTGGACCTCTGATCGTGGTCGAGCTGAACTCAGACCACGTGGCTCACGCAAGATACCGACTGCCCTATCACCTGAAAAATGAGTACCAGGACTGCCTCAAACGCCTCACCACAGCATACCCTGCAAAAGCTTGAAGAGATCATCCAGAACTTCTGGGCACGACTACATGACCGGGCACAAGCAGCCAAGATGGAACACAGTGTAGTTGAGATGGGAAGCAACCTGCCGAAGTAGCACAGGCCTCCCCAGGACAAACACACAACACCTGCTCCTTTTCAACCTGAGGCCTGCCCGCAGGTGCCAAGAGCCCCTAGTGGCAATATTTCATCACACCCGCCACAACTGCAGGAGATCACCCACCAATGGTGGCCTTTACCATCTAACTCCTCCACTAGCTCTGGAGGGAACAAAGACTTGGCTCCAGGGAATACCCATGTCTGTTGATCTGGGATGCATGCCCTCACTAATGCTGGGGTTGGAGGGAAGACCTACGCAGGCACAACCCTGCAGTTACTCACCTGGACTTTGTCAACACCACACTGACCTTGCAACCCATTGGAATTGGCTGAACCCGGTGCCAGACCACCGTAGGAGAACACACACAACAGGCGGATACCATATGAAGTACACAGCACGACACGTGACTCATTGTTATTAAGGCTAATCCCACTGTCTAAAGTTTAGTTTTTCATATGAGTCTCATTATGGTTATTACTATTTTTATTTAATAATATGTGTGAATATCAATATGTGATATAGAAGGTGCAGGAGGGTGTAAAAGAAAATGGAAACAGTGGCTAACTCTCATGATACTCAGTTTACTATTACTCTGCCTATCATATTATCCACCACGTCTTGTATGTTTTGCTTTCATTTAACTCTTGTGAACTACAATGAAACGTGTATGCATAACCAGGGCCAGTGCATGGATTTTTGCCGCCCTAAGCAAACAAAAATTTGCTGCCCTCCCATATGTTCTGCCCACCATGTGACATCACAATGCCCCACCCATATGATCTGCCATATGAGCTAATGCCAGTGCTGCATTTACATTAAAAAGCCTGCAGGGATAAGCTATAGACACCAGAAACACTATATTAAGCTGCAGTGGTTTTGGTGACTGTTGTGTCCCTTTAATGTGAGGTAAATTAGAGATTAGTGCCACTAATAATTTAATGGATTGCCTACTTACCACCAGATGAGAACAAGAGGGTGATGATGGGCTCAGGCTGCTGTCTGGCTCCACTGGTCTGATGTAGAACAGGCTATCTGTAGTCTCTTTGTATTAGTGCTCACAAAACTCAATGAACGGAAAGCAGCTCCATTTTTTGCGGCCCCTTACACAGTTCAAGGTCTGGGCCCCCAACCCCTGACCATAAGTATGTCTACAAGGCCCGCCCAAAGGTCCACCTACTTGGCCCACATATGAGTTCGCTCACAGGGAGTGGAGTGTATGTGTGTAGGGGATATGTTATGTGTTATTGTAGAGGATGTAGTGTGTGTGTGTTCTTATGGAATGTAGTGTATAGGAATAGCAGTTTGTGTATGGGATGTAGTGTGTGTATAGGGGATGCAGTGTGTTAGGGATAGAAAGCAGTGTGTGTTTGTGTGTAAGGAATGCATTGTGTGTGTGTGTGTGTGTGTGCGTGTCTATAAGGATGCATTGTGTGAATCTGTGTTTGTATGTGTAAGGGATACAAGGTGTGTTTCAGTGTATGTAAGATGCATTGTGTTTGTGTGTGTGTGTGTGTGATGCATTGTGTATGTGATGGATGCATTATGTGTAAGGGTGAGTATGTAAGGGAAACATGGTGTGTTTCTGTGTGTGTGTAGGATTCACTGTATGTTTCGGTATGTGAGTAGGGAAGCATTGTATGTTTCTGTGCATGTGTGTGTAGGCATGCATTGTGTGTTTCTGTGTATGTGTAAGGATACATTGTGTATGTGTGTAGTGTGAAAGAGAGGGTTTGTGTGGTAGGAGAGGGGCTGAGAGGGGAGCAGCTCTTTATTTTTATTTATTTTGTTAATTTTTTTATTGTATATTTTGTTCATTAAGGTTAGTGTCTTACATCCCCTTTAGTGTATCTCTTACAAGCCCCTTGTGTGTCTCTTATCCCACTTCTCTCTTTGTATGTCTCCTACATCCTCCCAACCCCTTTGCATGTCTAACTCCCCCCAGCCCCTGTGTGTTTTTACTCTTACCAGCTCCTTTGTGTGTTTCTTTTTTTATTTCAGACTACACCATCCCCATAGAAATTTTGAATACTTCATTGTTTATGGCTGATAAATTAGTCATCATAAATACTTTGATCTCTCCTCCCTTCCCTATTCTCACTTTATTTTTATTAAAACTACCTTTATTTCCCCTAAAAAAAAAAAACCATTAAAAAAATAGAAAAAAAGAAAAATAGAAGAGGGGAGAAAACAAAAGCAATGTCTAATGAAGGAAAAAACAAGAAGAAAAGAAAAAAGAAAAAGACAAACAAAATTTTACTCATTCATACCTCCATTCACACCCTTCTGTACAGTAGTGTCTCAAATGCACCTTACATTAATCTTAGAAAATCTCTGCGTGAAAATGACCGCAGGCTTGTGCCTCTTTCAATCTAGTTTCTCTTCCATTATAGTTACATTTAGATAATTGTACCAGCTCTTCTTGCTCTAATATTTTTAGCCAATTGCCCCAAATTTCCTGATCCTTATTTTGGTTTGTGATTTTATTCAACCCCATTTCCATTCGTATCTGAAATTTCACTTGTTGAATAAGCTGTGTATTGGTAAATAACTTACACCCCTTTTAGTGTATCTCTTACAAGCCCCTTGTGTGTCTCTTATCCTGCTCCTCATACTCGAACTTTCTATTTTTTAACTTTCCGAATTGCAACAGATTGGTATTATACAAACACAATGGAATGAAGCAGAACTCGGTGCCAGAATTATCATCTCATTTTCTTTAAAGAGGCATGTGAATGTTAAGCCAAGAGATATGATTGGCTTGTGATCCCCATCTGCTTCTAATAATACAACCTTAAATAGCTCACACAAAGAAGCAATGTTTTGAAGGACTTTTGTTCCCTTCGTCAGTTTTGCTGTATAAATGGTTTGCCAGATTAAAATTAAACAGAGCTGGAAAGTCAAAGAGGTAATTTAGAATCTGTAATTGCCAAGACCTAACATACTGAAACAAAGATTGACAATTACATGGAATCCTGCTACTGTTTGCCTGATGAAGATTGCCACAAATTAGATGGACCCACTTGTAATTCACAATGTAGAGCCATTAACGAAAGCATTTACCAATTTCAGCCAATTGGCGAAATACTACATCTCTTACAGTTTGTCCATGTGCAGCTCACAGAAAACACAAAACGGTTGTTTTAACAGTGAATGCCATGTGAGCATTAGCAGAATGGCAGACTTACTTAAGAGGACTTCTACACTGATGGATTATCTTTGTGTTTGTCATTTACCGCTACATAAACTTGGGCATTGTTGTAGACATATTCTAGAAAAATGGTGTATTCCAGATTGAAATGATAAATAAATTGAAAAGAAATACATAGAAATTGCCATGTGTATTTATTAGAATTCTAAGTTTCTACTTTGCATAAATAATGCCTTTCTATAGGTGTGTGTGTGTACATACATACACACACAAAATTATATATAGTGTGTGTATAACAATAATTGAGGTAATAAAATCATCATGTCTTTGATTGTGCCAATAGAAAAAAAATATTTATTTTGAACATATACCAAATAGTATATACCCTTGATAAAAGTTTTATCAGAGTACACAAAGTACATAACTTAAGACATATATTGGTAGATAGATAAATAAAAAAAATAACATAGCAGTGCTTTCTCAGGTAAGCAAATAAATGGAAATTTTGTACCAAGTCAACCCAAAGTGTTACCAAATATATTCAGTCTTTTCATAACAATTCAAAATATTAATTAATCTTTTCATTTGTGTACATATGAGCATATACACGTACTGCATACACCCTATAGGATTCGGTTTATAGCAGGAATAATTACGTATGAACTTTAACAGCAAATATTCTGTGTAATTAAGCATAATGAAATACAAATTTAAATAATAATATGAAAATATTTAATGAAATATTATATATATACAAATGGTCGAAAAATAATATTTTGTAGTATGGTTTTGTAAAACAATACACATCGAGTCTTGCATATGGTTAAATAATTGTTTTGTATATTGGCTTTGAAAGCTATAGTTAATCTAACACTAGTATTGCACTTATGCAATGTTTTGTATAGAATTTTGGTTGCTCGAATTAATAAGACAATCCTGCTTAGATCAACACGTTTACTGTAACTCAATGGTACAAACAATAAATAGAATTTATGTATTTACACCTTAAGAAAAGTAGACAATTCTTTACATTGGATTCCATTAAAAAAGCTCAATTATACTAGTGCATTTTAGACAAAGAGACCAAAGCCACTTTCTTTAAGTGGCTGGTCAATATTACATCATTTTTAACACTAACTAATGTTTTTGGGAAAACATTTGGAAAGTAATGTTTGAATCCCGTATTTGAGCTACAATTTCAATGACACATCATATGTAAACTATCTATGGATCTAGCTTGGTAGAAAAATAGTGTAATGTCATTTTTCTTAATTTGTCCTTCTTGTGTTCTACAAATATATTTTTTAAAAAGACTTGTCACTCGTATTTTGTTGGCTTTTTTTTTTTTTTAGGCCAGTGACATTGACTATATAAGTGTCCACAATATTATCTCTAGAAAAATTAATAGTTGGTTAATTCTTGTCCTGATGGCATTGACAAGTGTGGTATTCTCGGTAGTGCAACCTTTTTCCAACAACTCCTTGCAGTTTCACTCAACCACTTTTTTAATTATAAAAGTAATTTATAGAAATGTGAAAACCTGGTGCTCTCATTGTTTAAAATAAGTGAAGTAAAATTCACTGTAAATAATGCTGAACATCCAGTTGTAATGTTGGGACAGCATATCCATCGCAGTTTTTTGCTACTCTTTTATTTATTTATTTCTAAAATAAAAAGCGGAGTTCATACCATAGAAAGATGTAGTGTAACCTCATAGACACCAACTGCTGCGGTATTCAGAAACAGATTCAATTGGCTCTGAAAAGTGTGAATCTGCACATTTATAACTATTTCACTATATTCACTTGTTAACCAGTATACACTATGTTCTGTATAATTTCTTCTTTTTTTTTTTTTTTTTGGTATATACAATGATATACTGCTGTCCTTCGAAGTAAATAGGTAATGCTACAGTGTTTGATAAACAAACCACACTTTTAGCTTATATTTCTTTAGCTTTTAGCATTTTCTGTTGATGGAATGGAGGAGAATATATACACAAGTGTTTTTTTTGTGTTTATATCACAGTTTTTCAGCACATATATTTTGTATATTTTTTTTTCACTTTTCTTTAGTTGTCTCTTCTGTTCCTTTTGAAAAAGAATAGGTTGGAGCTAGGGTGTAAGTTTTTTGGTTTTGTTGTTTTGAAAAAAACATGTTTCTATTATCATGATAATTTTAGTACTATGTCCCTTTAGAATAACGGAATAACTGCAGCAATAAAACAAAAACAATAAATACAGTTTAATTCATTACAAAATGGCAGGTGACAGGTCCACTTTAAGCTGAGCAGCATGTCTAATAAGACTTTTATCCTTGAATTTGTGTGTTCAGCAATACACTAACAAGTTCTGACCAAATCCTGTACTGTTTTATATATTCATTTTCCTCTTTTGACAAGAGAATGAGGAAGATCTTAAGTACTTGTGTCTAAGAGTGTACCTAAATGTAGGTCCAGGCCTGTGTTGCAGAAGATAAAAACTTTGTGTTAAATATGTACAGATAACATATTATGCTCATTATGTTTCCACCACATATAACCTTTGGTTTTCCACCAGAATATTAATTTCCTTCCCACTACATAAAAAAAACCACAAAATGGTCTAGTCAGCCTTCTCCTACAGAGCTTAAGACAATGTGGAATAGCCTTCTAGAAAGGAGTGAAATCTTCTTCCTCTGTGACTTCAGTCCTACAGCATTTGTAGTTACATTTAATGTCTAATTGCTTTCTACATAAATTAGAATAAATATTTGACACTGTGTGGCACGAAGGGCATATTTGAAATATGGAAAAATCATTAACACCCCAAGCACCATGAAAAACTACAGTACGCTGTAGTGATTAGGGTGCGAGGAGTGCCCAGGCATCCTACATATTGTAAGTAGTCAAGCTGTTTTAGAATGGTTTGACTTCTTATCTGCCGCTCCCTGCCTCTTCTCTAAAAAGAAGATCTCAGCTTAGAGATAGGTCTGGTCATGCAGTTCATTGGCTGCTGAGTAGCACTGAGCATGGAGTAGCACTCAGCAGACCCAGTTTTGGAGTCCAACCATTCTAAAATGGTTTGGCTACTTTTAATCAGTATGTACCACGACACTCCTGTACAGTACAGTGGGCTGTAATAATTATAGTGTTTGGAGAGTGGTTAATGTATTTGTTCCTAGTTATTTTTATATTTTTAAAATTATTGTATAGTTTTAAAAATGTTAATTTATAGGGTATACGGAGAGCACCTCGCATGGCCTCTTGTTTGTAGCAAAGCATGTCATTGTTATTAGTATTATAGTATTATAGTGCATGATTGCAGATACATGAAAAGAAAATGATTAACTGTAATTCAATTTTTTGGGATAAGCTTATCAAATGATAAACAATTTTGGATAAACTTTTAAAATCATTTAATATTATGGAAAAATAATATATATTATTAAATAAATATTTTTATATTTTTTATATATTAATATATCTTGTATATATGATAATTTTTTTATATTGTAATTTTAAAAGTTTATCCAAAAATATTGAATCATTTGAAAAGCTTATTCTTCAATATTAAATCAAGGCCTATGTGCAAAAGCCTAATTTCTGCACATCAAACTCGAGCAATATGCAGTAAATCTCTTAATTCCTTTGATTTGTGTTGCCTACAACAATAGCTGTGCCCCTGTTGGTGGCAATTATCAAAGAACTCATTGAGAGACATTTTCTACACGAATAACTAACCAAGTTGAGAGAGTCATATACTCCTACTTAAGAACACATATAACTTGAAGGCTTTTAATATTGATATTGTATTATATAATATTATGTATATATTTAAGTGTACTCCATATGTGTTACTTTTTTATTAAACCCTTACTGTGAAGTATACAACTATAGTCATTGAAACATACATCTATAAATGCTTGTAATATACAAAATTCTTTTGTATATAAATGCTTGTAGCCTTTTGCAACGTGGTTAGCCACATAGGAACTAAGAATAGCATATATTATTCAAAAGGTCAGCATGTTCATCAATGGTGATAGCATTTTTTTGGATTGGTCCCCAACTGCCTATGAGAGAGCCTAACAGTTCAGGTTAAGCCTTTTGTCATTATTGCTTCACTATAGTTGTCCTGTCTCTTCATACAGTTTAAGATCTCATATCATCATTCTCCTGTACCTTTATAATTATGTATGTTATGGATTTAAGGTCTTTATTTTATAATTGTAATCATAGACATTGAGTACCAAAAATTGCTCTTGGTTAACAAATTGGTTAATGTTTTTTTGTAGAAATCGAGTTTCTAGAAATGGAAAGATGTTTTTTGGAGGTCTATTCACATTTAAACTACTTATCTAACTGTGAAACATGAGCAGAAATAATGATTTAGTTAGTAAATGTCTTCTTTTAAATGTCTTCCACATTCTTCTTTAATCTCCCTGTGTCTCCTTTTATTTTTATCCAACATCCCTACAATATATCTTATATCTCTTTTAACAGTCTCGTAGAATTAAATCATGGTTTTTGCGTTTTTCTGTATAGCGCTATAACATTTTATCACCTATCAACTAATCTGTGAATCATGTTCTTCCGTTTAATTTATATACTAAATTTTCTGTGGTATAGTGCATTTCTCCTGCCTTCACCTTTTCTATCATCCTCAATGTTCGCTTCATTACTTTTAATAGCTATGTTTAATTCCCCCTGCTACAATCCACTCCTCAAATTCCATCCGGCCAAATGATCACTTAAATATTCCATCTGTGAGTCGATGCAAATACAGTAAATGCAATTAATGCTTCCAAAACTTTTAAAGTGGAATTTTCAATTATTATAAATTACTATTCATATTTAATAGTTAAATGAAATCTAAAGTAGAAGTGAATTTAACAAATTTTGGAATCTCACGAGGTCTTAATTAGGTCAAATAAATTGTTGTGACAATTATTCTTTATGATTAAACAAATGACCCATCTCCTGCTGTTAAACTAAATTGTTGCAAAAGTAAATGAGAACTTTAAGATCTATTTCTATCTATATAGGAAAAGAAAATTAATTTGTTTGCAAATTCTTACTTTTCTGTCAAGCACCACTTGCTAAAAACTTATAGCAAAGGAAATGTGTGCGATAAGGATCCTTATAACAGCTCATAAAAAGACATTTTAAATTAAAAAAAAACATGTTTATAAATTAATATAGTTCATATGAGTGATCAATTTTCTCATATCCCAGCATACAAAATGGAGTTATCCTCATTACCCATATATTTTCTATGTTTTCTAATTATGGACTTGGCAGTTCCTCATTTTCTATGAGATAATCTTTCTTTAAAAACCTAACACCTCTCACCATTCTCCATATACCAAGATATGCTTCCCTTAAACTACTCCTATTATCACCATTAGGCTCAGGCCCTACTTGGCCGCTTGACTGCAGGTATGCTCCTAATGTACTCCCAGTCTGCTTATCTTCTATTATTTGGTCAGTCTTCATAGTATTTGTAGATGACTTTTCGTCTGCTTGCCCTTCAACACTGTTATCTTGTAAAATCTCTTCCATTACAAATGGTGGTTGTTCTCCATTCTGCTCTATCTTGTCCTCCTTGATAGCCTCCTTTTCCAGATCTTCATAATTGATTTGTCTTCTGGTCTCTAAGTACTTGGCTACACAGTAGACTACAGAACCAAATGTATTCACAACTACTCCAGCAATGAATAGGGAAGTAGGCTCCACATCACTAAAAGCCAACATGCCAACTGTGATAGTGGCAATGCTCTTCACCACACCAACGAAGCTAGTAGTGACTGCAGAGTTTAGATAGGTGCAGTGAAGCGTGGTAAAGTTCATGGCACAGCCAATAAGGGTACATGCAATAAAAGTGCACACCATGGAAGGGTCCTTCCAGCCTGGGAAAGACCAGGCATTGATGAGATCCATACTGGCAAAAGAGCAGATGATAAGTACGGGGGTTGCGGTAACAGCTATGATATACTGTGCAGTAAGGGGTCCGTGTTCACTATCGATACTTGTCTTTTGAATAATTACCAGATAGGCAGAGTGTACTAAAACGGCCAGTACTCCGGTTATGTATCCTATTGGCTCACCGCTGAGATCTCCAGCCCCTATTTGGAACAGAAAAAAAGAAATACTCAGGATCTTAAATTGTATATACACAGAAATTGTTAACAAAACATTAGAATTGTTCCAATAAATAAATGTGAAAACCTGGTATAATTAATACAGATATATGATGGATAAAGTACAGTTCTCTGTACTATAATGTATTACACAAGATCATCTGGAATCCCTCCGATTTAGGAATTCCCTGCATTACATCTGGTCACTTAAATGAATTGTCTATGATTCCTGTACTCATATGTTTGCTCTTTTGTATTCTTTTTTGAAAACACTCAATAAAAATGTTTTAAAAAAATAGTTAGATGTTGTGGACTCTGTAAACAATATAAATCAGTTATATTGACAATACTGACAATATATCAGTTGAACATCTTATCCACAACAGTGCAGGCTTTACTAGAAGTAGAAAATATTATTTTAAATGCATCAAAGAATATCTTATTCTAGAACATGTTTCTGCATAAAAAACACTTTATTATCAGACCCATGCAAGGAGCTTCTCTTAGTTTCACTGAGGTAAGCTATGCCATGTTGTAGGGCTGGCTGATTGGATGAGAGCATCAGTTGATTGCTCTCTGCCAATGTATTAAGCAGTGCTGCCATCAGAGGGTACAGGCAAAATGGGGGGTATATTGCAAATATATATATATATATATATATATATATATATATATATATATATAAAGGCTGTCTGCCTGCTCCTCAACCAGGTTCTTACTCTCTCTCATGAACCCCGGCTGTCAGTGTTGTTCCAGGTTACCACGGCAATGTTCTAATGCTACTTTCTGATGGAGCATGCAAGAAGAGTCTGGGAATATGGCAGGAGCAGACAGCCTTTTAGTACCACTGGACCAACATGGAATGTAGTGTCCCCCTTCTCTAGCCAGAGGTAAGTGTCAAGGAAGAGGGAACAATATTGCATAAAGCAAAAAAAAAAAAAAAAGATATATTTGAATCCACTACACACATACACACATTATCCCTTAAACACATACAATGCATTCACTATACAAACCCACATTTCATCCACCACACACACAGCATCCAATATACACAAACATACTACATCCACTATATACACTCACTGCATCCACTATAAACACACACTGCTCTAACTACACACACTGCATCCACCATACATACATTGTATCCACTATGCACACATTAAATCCCCTATACACACTTAATTCCTTATACACATACACTACATTCCCTAAAAAGACACCTTACATCCTCTACAAACACCCACATTGCATTGCACATTGCCTATTGCAGTTTGAAGTGCCTCCGAGATGGTGGTGGTATGGGAGGTGAGCCTGTGGGCAGATCTAGGTGGGCCACCAAGGACCTAGGCCTTGGGCTGTGTAAGAACCCCAAATTTGATGGCAACCCTGGTGCTGTGCACAACAAGAGGTGACCGGAGCCCGGTGGACCCCAGGTAAATTCTCAAACCATTCAAAATGCTTTTACTACTTACTAGGGGAGGGCACAAGGGTAGTCCAGACATCATAACCACTGTAGTGGGAGGGAGGGGAGAAGATTATTAAGTTGGGAGAGGTAGTGGGCAGTGTATTGGAGTGGTGGGAGAGGCAGTCATTGTTTTAAAATAATGGGAGGGGGGTAATGTGTTAAATTGGGGGGAGGGCAGTGCATTAATTTGGGGGAGGGACGGAGTATTACAGTGGTGGTAGGTGGGCAGTGTGTTAAATTGAGGGGAGGGCAGTGAGTTAAGTTGGGTGGAGAGAGCAGTGTATAAGAGTGGATGGAGGAGGCAGTGTATTGGATTTGAGGACAGTGTATTAGAGTGGAGGAAGGGGGGCAGTGTATTGGATTTGGGGGAAATGTATTAGAATGGGGGGAGGGGGCATTAGATTGGGTCTGCATGGAGACACTGAAGTCTCCCCATGGAGATGCTGACTGGTTGTGCATCTTTTTGCCACACGTGCACAATAGTCTTCCAATGCTTTCCTATGGGAAAGCATTGGATTGGCTGAGATCATTAAGTTTGATGATCTCAGCCAAAGCAAAGAACACACTCATAGGACTTCAAAATCAACAAGATAACATCATTTGTTTTTTTCACAGCTGTGCAAAAGCATACATTCATCATTTCAGTCCTATTACCAAACTTTTCTTAATATGTCAAGGCAGTCGGACTGAAACATTGGTTATATGCAAATGCAGGTCTCCTTATAATAATTCGCTCTTTTGTTTACTTTGAAGCCCGTTTACTTTGAAGCCCTACGAGCGTTAAGACATCCAGTGTCAGTTAGCCAACTTTTTTTTATACTGTACTTTTCTAAATAAACCTACTTTTCTATGAAAACTGAAGTTTTTATTTTTTTGCGGCCCACATAATTTTAAACCTTGTTTATTTGGCCCGTGTTAGCCTTTGATCTGGAAGAAAAATTTAATGAACAGGAACAATTATGGAAATCATTCAAGATAGTAAATTGAGATGTTTGCTCTCACCATCATGCAGAAACATTGTAATACAGAGATAATAATTACTGTAATCACCGTTTTAATCTGTAATCAACATTAAACAGATTAATTTAATAGACTGGGCATATCTCTTTTGAGATTTTCATTTTTATTAAAGGGACACTCTGAGCTCCAATATGCATTTGAGAAATGTTGGCCCCATTAATATGCTGTATTTTTGGAGAGGATACCCAGGGAGACATATAGTAAGGATATCACTACCTGTTTGCAGTTTCTCTGACTGTCTGCAGCCAGATTGGGAATTAAAAACAGCTCACTCAGTGATGTTGGAGCTAAGACTGTGTGCATTCATTGGTTAAGGAAGTCTTTCTTGCATGATGGGGCAAGGCTAAGCATACAGGATATGATGCAGTATTCTGCAAAACATAATTATTTATTTTTTGCAAAAATCATAAAGATTTGAACATGCAAAAACCGCAGCATATTAATAAGGCCAAAACATATTAAATGCATTAAAGTTATTTGTTGCCCTGATTGTCCTGTTGCCCTAATTGCCCCTTAAATTTAATTTGTGTTTTGATTTTTCAGTCATGTTAATACTTTTGTAGATTTTAGAGATATAACTATTTATCTTGGAAAAATAACCATCTCCATGTGCATTTGTTAAATTCATTCATTATTTATTTTTTTAAAACTGCTTTTTTTTTTTTTTTTTTTTTTAAATCACTACCATTATGAAATCATCCCTACTCTCCCCATGCCTCCTCCTGGACCTATAAGGGCTTGTTGACTTTACATAAAGTGGATATTAATAAGGGGCAATATCATGCAGGGCATGCCAAGATGGCAACTCCTATTAAGTTAAGTATGCAAGCTAATCTACAATCCAAACGCCCTCTTTTGCAGCGACTCTCTCTTTAAGTGACCTATTTTATATTATCCTTGTGAGGGTATCTATGAGATGAGATGCACTACATCACTTTCATTGATTTTATTCAGTTTGCCCTTCTTTATAATTATCTTTGTTTTGATAAACAATTTTATCTCCAAACACAAGGAGTGGCAATGGGGGCCAGTTTTATACCCTTCTGTGCCAATTTATTTATGGGTTACTTTGTGGAATGTTATATATGGCAAAACAACCCATGAAGGTTCAACCTGGCAATTCTATCGCCGCCTCATTGATGACATTTTAATAGTTTATGATGGGGATTATGAAAGTATCAATGATTCTTTAATTTGGATTAACACTAATCACTTTGGCCTCTTGTTCACCCATGGTATAGGAACAGATGGTAAAATTGAATTCCTGGATCTCCTATTGAGAGGTGAAAATGATAATGTAATTGCAAACACTTATCAGAAGACAGTAGACATTAATGGTTATTTACATTTCAGCAGTGTCCACCATCCCCAATGGATAAATAATACACATTATGGCCAATTCCTTCTTCTTAGACAAAATTGTACATACATCTCTAAGGTTCTAATTAATAGGTTCCTGGAAAAGGATTATCCTCAACATCTGAGAAAAAGGACCTATTTAAAATCCAGAAATAAAAATAGGTTTACCCTAATTACTAATGAAAGAGATAGTAAACAAAAGGATAAGGATAAAAAGACTATTGAAAAAGAAAATCTCAATATAAAACCCTAGAGGCACCAACACCAAAGGATATACTCACAATGTTTGCTAGAATTCTGAGAAGTGGTAGAAAAAATAAAAACTGGAATTATTAACAAAAACAATACTCAACTAAAAATATCAGGTAAAGATATGATACAGACCACTAAAGGACCAGCTGAATATCAACAGATTATAGAGATGCAGATATTGGCCCATTGTTACGGCACAGCTTACCAGATATGCCGCAAATCACTTTTCAAGGTTGCCAATCTCAAAAATATTTTAACTGCCACTAGACTTAGGGACACAATAACTGATCACTCAAAAACTGGATTATATCTGGGTACCTTCAAATGTGGGGCCTCTAGATGTATAATGTGTAATCACATTAACCGTGTGGTTGGGTGCTGTGTTTCTAATGGCATCCTCTACCAATATACTGTAGCCCACATGATTACATGTAATATATCTTTTGTAGTTTATCTTCTTATATGCCTTTGTGGGCTGCAGCATGTGGGGTAGACCTCAAGACCCCTTAAGTAGAGGTTAATGTATCATAGAGACTCAGAGGGGAATTATAGTACTACCATAGTTTATCATATTAGACTACAACATGGGTCGATGTCATAGGACTTAGATCAATGGGATTACAGTGGATCCCTTTTGGATCGGACAAACAATCCCAAATTAGGAAATTCTTTTAGACTGACCCCATAAGGATTTATAAATTGGGCCTTCTAGTCCCAGAAGATTTAAATGAAATAATGGATTCTGGATATGGATGGGATATTTGTGTCTATAACATAAGAGAAATATATATATATATATATATATATATATATATACATATATATAATGACATCTTTAGATATGATTCTTTGCTATATCAGGCAAGATTTATATTGTTTGGTTGACTATATATTGTAAATTACACCTGCCTTATAAAAGTAAAACTAAGGACGGCTTATATATCTCTATTAAGAATTATACACTGTACATTGAGAACCTTATCATTTGCTACACTTTACAAAAAAGTGACATAAGAGTTATCCTATGATTATAATATTATATAAAGGAGTCCACAAATGTATTGGTGCTTGGCTTCATAGGTTTTAATAAAGTTTAGGGTCTCTAAATAATCTTTTCGATAAATTGTTTCCTGTGTCATATATAGTCTTATAGAAAATTTTATAGAACTCTATTTTCTTAATACATACAAATATATAGATTTGGTGCACTGTGCATATATACTTGTAACTCTGATTATATACATAACGTCATTTGTTTTTTTACAGTTGTGCAAAAGCATACAGTCATCATTTCAGTCCTATTACCAAATTTTTCTTAATATGTCAAGGTAGTTGGACTGAAACATTGGTTATATGCAAATGCAGGTCTCCTTATAATAAATTTGCTCTATTGTTTACTTTGAAGCCCTACGAGCGTTAAGACGTCCAGTGTCAGTTAGCCAACCTTTTTTTTTATACTGTACTTTGCTAAATTTTGATTGCTCACTTGTATCACCTAATAATGTTACTACCAATAGGTCTTCATCTGAACAGTGCAATAAATTCCCTATTTAAGGAAGGGTGTGTTTTAAAAAACAACAAAGTCCTTTACGGACTAAACGCTTAGACGCCTTGCTTTGATTACTGATTCCATATGCTAAAGGCAGCACATTTCCTGGCACACTCTAGACCAAGCATGTCAAGCTCGCGGGCCACAATGGACATCTTTGCGAGCCAAGAGTACATGCTTGGTGTTGAAGCAGAGTAGGCACCTGCTTTCCCCACATTGCAGGTGCCTACTCTGCAAAAACTTACCTGGCCGGGGTGGAGGGCCAGCGAGGGAGCTCAGCCTTCCTGCTCCTCACTGCTCCTTCGCGCACGCCATCTACAGTGAAGCCAGGCACCAGATATGACGTCATATTCCGGCACACGACTTCACTAAACTGTGCACGGGGGAGCAGTGAGGAGCAGATAGCAGATCCCCACTGGACCCCAGGGAGAGGCCCCACATTGGCTCCCAAAGTTAGGGAGCAATAAAGAAAATGATGTGTGTGCAAGAATGTGTGTGTGTGTGTCTGTCAGTGTGTGTGTGTGCCTGTCAGTGTGTGTCTGTGTGTGTGTCTGTCTGTCTGTCTGTCAGTATGTGTGTGTGTGTGTGTCTGTCTGTGTGGGTGTCTGTCAGTGAGTGTGTGTGTGTCTGTAAGTGTGTGTGTGTCTGTCAGTGAGTGTGTGTCTGTCAGTGTCTGTGTGTGTCTGTGTGTGTGTCAGTGAGTGTGCGTGTCTGTGTGTCTGTCAGTGAGTGTCTGTGTGTGTCAGTTAGTACAAATACAAAAAGTACAAATACAGTGTGTGTCTTCCAGTGTCTGTGTGTGTGTGTCTGTCAGTGAGTGTGTGTGTCTGTGTGTGTGTCAGTGAGTGTCTGTGTGTCTGTCTGTGTGTATGTCAGTGAATGATTGTGTCTGTCTGTGTTTGTCTGTCTGTGAGTGTCTGTCTGTGTGTGTGTGTCTGTCAGTGAGTGTGTGTGTGAACTGACGACAGATGTATGTACAGTGTTTCATGCAGAAATGCTGCACATAAAGATTCCTAGCACCATGACCACTTCTAAAAGCAGAAGTGGTCATGGTGGTTGGAGTAACCCTTTAAATGTAGAAATCCAAACATTTCTATCCTTGAATTGGGTGCCTCTATATGAGCTCCTAGTCAATCATAGTTAAACACTTTGTCCTTTGTACCTGGCAGCCAGCATAGAGAAAGTATGCAGAAGGGGGAGAATTAAACATTGTTCCTATTCTCTTCATTTCTAAAGTTTGCCCTGGCTTTGCCTTGTCTGGACTGGATTATGGTGGCATATGATAAATGTTTAATATATATTTTAAAGAAAACAGTGCATTTCATGAAAAGAAGGTTACCACAGGTAAGAGGTGATTTTCCATATTTTATTCCAAATTGTAAATTCCACAGTACTGGCTGTTTCCGTATTATTTCCCTAACTTTGGAATCCTTAACTCAATGGCCACAAAGATCCTTATGCCAATGGGGGTCTGGTAGGTGAGAGAGCTGTGACGGAAGGTCTCTCGTGCTTACATCTCTGGATGGTTGCCAAGCTCTGCCCATCGCTAGAGACTGCAGAGCAGGGTGTGTAGTATCTCCATCTGCAGCACAGTAACATTAAAATACATACTTGGTGCCAAACTGTGATGTCATATCTGCTGCCTGTCTTACGTGCTGAGAACCAAGGAGACTGAGCACTAGCCATAGCACAGAACCTCCCTCTCTTCTTCCCTGACAATGGGAGCCAGAATAAAGTTATTGAGCAAAATATAAATGATAAGTTCTTAGCTAAGCGTGAATGTGAGGGTCTGAATGACTGCAACCACCTGTCATTCAATTAAGCACCAATTGTAACAAATTCCAATTAGAATATTTGAGTTAAGGATAAAAGAGACAAACCATATCTAGCTGAGTTGGAGAATGTTTCCAGATCAAGTCATTTTGCATATTTTTTCCATTAGGAATTCAGTTTGCTGCTTTTCAGAGTTTATTAAATAAAGCTCAGTGTGCAAATATATGTGCGTGTTTGAGGCCAGGGCCGGACTGGCCCACCGGGATACCGGGAAATTTCCCGGTGGGCCGTCGGCACCTGGGGCCGGGCAGACACCTGGGTCTGCTGTCGGCCGCTGGCAGGGGCGGGCTGGGCCGGGGGGCAGGGAGGCAATTGCCCCCCAGGCCGCCCTAAATTCCTGTAAGACCGGCCGCGGCGGGCCGGCCCTTTAAATACTGCAGCCGCCTGAGCGCTCTGTTAAGAGCCTCAGGCGGCTGCAGCTTCTCCCCTCCCCTCCTCTCCCCTGTAGCGTGGCCAAGCTGCACTCCGGTCCGCGGTGGCCGGCCGGACTGATAAGAAGGTGCACACTGAGTGTGCACTTCCTGTCAGGCCGGTTACAGGAAACAGAAACTCCTGTTCCGCGCGTAGTTTCTGTTTCCTGTAACCGGCCGGACTGACAGGAAGTGCACTGAGTGTGCGCTTTCCTATCAGTCCGGCCGGGCACCGCGGACCGGAGTGCAGCTCGGCCACGCTACAGGGGAGGGGGTAAGAAGAGAGGGAGGGGGTAAGATGAGAGGAGGGGTAAAAGAGGGGGGGGAATAAGATGAGGGGGAAAAAGGGGGGAATAAGAAGAGTGAGGGAGGGGAACAAGAAGAGGGAGGGGGAATAAGAAGAGGGAGGGGGAATAAGATGAGGGAGGGAGGGAATAAGAAGAGGGGAGGGGAAATAAGATGAGGAGGGAGGGAATAAAAGAGGGGGGAATAAGATGAGGGAGGGAGGGGAATAAGAAGAGGGGATTGGGGAATAAGATGAGGGGAGGGAGGGAATAAGAAGAGGGAGGGAAGGAACAAGAAGAGGGGAGGGAAGGGAATAAGAAGAGGGGAGGGGGAAGAATAAGAAGAGGGAGGGGGGAATAAGAAGAGGGAGGGGGGAATAAAAAGAGGGGGGAATAAGGGGAGGGGGGAATAAGAAGAGGGGAGGGGGGAATAAGATGAGGGGAGGGGGGGAATAAAAAGAGGGGGGGAATAAGAAGAGGGGAGGGAGGGGAATAAGAAGAAGGGGCAGCTCTATAGGACAGGGGCCAAGACACGGAGCTCTTTCACACTACGCGCGCACACACACACAATGCATCCCTATACATACACAGAAACACAACATGTGTGTGTGCTTGTCTGTGTATATCTGTCTGTCTGTATGTGTCCATGTTTGTGTGTCTCTATGTGTGTGTGTGCCTGTCAGTGGAGGGAGTGGGTGGAAGAGGGATCAGTTTCGCACCGGGGCCCAATAGATTGTGTGTTTGCTCTTGTCCCAGAGTAACCTCTACCTCACATACCTATCTCTTGCTCTCTCCTAAAGGGCAGCACTCTATTCTCTCCTCCAGCTTTGCTTCACTCCCACTTTATTTGATTGCTATTTCCTGTCCTAATGTGTCCTATAATGTGTTTTATACCCCACCTTCTATTGACTGCAAGCTCGTTTGAGCAGGGTCCGCTTCAACCTGTCATTCCTGTACGTTTTCTTGTAATTGTCCTATTTATAGTTAAATCTTCCCTCTCATAATATTGTAAAGCGCTACGGAATCTGTTGGAGCTATATAAATGCCAAAATAATAATAATAATAATAATAATAATAATAGCTGGAAGGGGAGGAACAAATGTTATAAGGGGAGAATTTGGACAGCATAGAGAGGGGTAACATGCTGCCATTGGTCACCGGTCACTAACATGCTGTTTGGTATGCACTGAGATCCTATTATTCAACCTGTTCTGGGCTACCTAATGATGCCATAAGGAAACTGCTAGAGCTGAAGTTACACCTCTGGCAGCAAAGTGCAAGATTTCTGTATTTGCAGCATTTCATAGTGAAATGTTGAACATTCAGACTCCAAGCACCATAACCAAATTAAATCCAAATTACTGAAGTGGTCATGATGCTTGGAGTAACCCTTTAAGAATCATTACTGTCTTTCTTATGGTGTCTTTTTATGTCTCAGTGTCTTAAAGTTGATTTGGAAATCAACCACCAGGTAACTGATGACAAGCAAGCCTGACACTGATAGCACAGAAAACAAATGAAGGTTTGGTGTAGTCTATGAAGAGATATTTCTAAAATCTTAATTATGAGTAAATATTTGTTTTTTAGAAATAAGATTAAAGGAACACTTTATTCACCAAAACAACTTAATCTGAACAAAGTTGTTATAGTATGAGGAGGTTCTGGGCGCTGTCTGTCTTACCTTTAGGGGTAAAACCGCTTATTAACAGTTTAACTTTAAAAAGTAATCAGTCCAGCCCCTGCCAGCTCTGCACTTCACTTCCAATCAATCAGTAACCCTTGGACTGGGCACCACCGTTAGTCTCAGAGCATCGGCTGATCATTTATAAAATGGAGTGAAAAAGATGCATACTTTTAGACTCTGTTTTCTGAATGTGAGCTAGTGATCAGATTATCAGCAGCGGTTATTCTGAGGCTTCCTAATTGAAGCATCAGACTCAGATGGAAGTGGAGGGACAGAGCTGATAGGCGACTGACTGAAGACTTTGGTGTTAAACTGTGCTCCTTTGGGCACCATAACAAGTTCATCTAAATTAAGTTGCTATGGTGCCAGAAAGTCCCTGGTCTTGGCTCCCCTTTCACATTCCTTTTCACATTCTTTTTGCTCTCAGTCAGTCACCAGCACCGCTTTCAGGCACCATAACAATAAAGTTGTTATGGTGCCAGAAAGTCTATGGTCCTGGCTCCCCTTTCACATACCTTTACATATTCTTTTTGCTCTCAGTCAATCACCAGCACCGCTGCCTAATGCTGCAAGAGCATTTGCATGATGTTGTTATGGTGCCCAAACTAGTCCTTTAATTCTTGCGAATAACTATAAGCAAGGTATTTAGCCATTTTTATTTATCTATTTTTGTCACATCTACTGTATGTGAAAAATTTGTAAGTTAAAGGACACTGTAGATTTTAATTTCCAAGATATCTTTATAAGGGAAGAACAAGTAAGTGAAAAATAAACAGGGCACATCCGGAACATGCATTTCTAAGTAGTGGTGCCGCTGTAGAGACAAAAATATATACAATGTGCAGATTAAGAAACAGCGCACACACAAAAAAGTTACTATATCTGAATAGTCAAAAAGGAATAATCATCACCAATGGCAGTGAAATGGTTAAACGACCATAAACACTACAACGCACTGGCACTCTCTTAGGGTAAGTAGTCAAACCATTTACAAACAGTTTGACAACTTACCTGGTGTCTCTGGGTGCCACAACACTCATTCAAATTCTGTTGGCTTCTCTGAATTAAACCCTGTAGTGTAGAACTGGAATAATGACGGAGAGAGTCAGCAAAGCGCTTTCAGCCTATGAGTTAAGCCCTGGACCTCTGATCTAAACGGTTTCAGCTGGAGGAGGTGACTGGCAACCAGGACACCAAGCAACTTACCTGGACCCCAGATTGGTTGTCAAACAATTTGCAAACAGTTTGCTTACTAATCTTAGGAGGGCTCCAGAAAAATCATGACACCATAACTACTACAGCATGCTATTGTGCTTATGGCGCTTAGGTGTTCCATTATCATGTTTCTTGCTTGGCAGACACACAGCCTAACTTGTGAAGGTGGTTTCAGTGCCTACCTTGTTCCTCTATTTTCTTAAGACACCGCTCTACATTTATTTACTCAAACAACACAAGATTTTGGGATGAAAGCCACTGGGACACTAATTGTGAAGTATATGAAATGTACCTGCAAATATTCAGTAAAATAGAAATTATCAAGACGTCCAAAATGTAGGCCACAAGTGCCAAAAACTAAATCTGCAATTCAGTGAAGTTTTTCTTTTCCTGGCTTTGGTGTTATTATTTTGTAAGCTGCAAAGAAAAATGGTCTTTAGAATAATACAAAATGTTTAACAGACCATGAGTTTATGTTAGAAACTGTGAGCCAAGAAAAGTGGAACAGGAGGAAGCCGTTAAGGCAGATGGTTCATGGAATCCAACATGTTTCGAACAGATAAACACCTTCTCTACAGGTAAATTATTTTAAAAGCAATGCTTTAGAGAGGTCCATTTAAATTTCATATTGAGTAAAATTCATGGAGCCAGCTATTACCCAGAATACTGCATGGTATTTGTGTAAAACATTTTTGTTTGAAAAATGATCAGTTTTGTTGTATTTGGGAGACTATATATTCTTGCTGTCTTCATACTTATCTGCTGTATATAATCTGTTAAATATTTTACAGGTGTAAAATATTTTCTTAATGGAAAAAAACTATTCAAACCAGGGATTGACTGTGTAGGTTCACTATTGTGGTTATGTTGCCAGTAGTTCCCTGGTGCACCACCATTATATTCTTACCTGGAGTCCACTGGGTGCAGCTCCCTGCCTCAACTACCACCGCATACAGGACTAGTACATTAAGATAGTAAATAATAGCCCCCGCTAGCAATATCTGACTGCCTGTTGTTGGTTGTGAAGTCGGGGAGCAGCAGGGTTGACGTCTTACAACGAGGGGCTTCCAGGGAGAGACTCTTCCCTGCAGCTCTGATCTGCCTCCTGTGAATTCAATACTGGTGGCTTGTCTCCAATCAGATGCTTCTCATAGGGAAGCACAGGGACACACCAACTATGTTTCTCATGCAGGGTTATTTACTAATGTGAGGATGCAAAGTGAATTCAACGTGAATTTTAAATTTGAGGTCACAGTAGCTGAACTTCCTTTTAAATTCTCTTTTTAGTGAACAACCTTGATATAGAGGCATTGAAATAGTGCTTCTGTATAAAAACCATTAACTTCTGCTTTGATAGTTATAGTTCCAAGTGAATGAGTCAGGAAACCCTCTGGCTGTCTGCTTGACAGCCCAGAGCTGTTGCTAACAGGATTTTCTCTTGAAATCATCACTTGTTTTAAGTAAGTATGCAGTGATTTAAAGCGCACTCTAAAGTTCTTAAGCAAGCTTTAGGTTACTGGTCCTTTTTAGTGAACCTGTAGTGAAACATTGGACTTACCTTAAATGCTCCCATATACATTGAATACACCATATATCACAAAGATACATAATGTATTTAGTTTAAATTATAGAGATTTACTTACCTCTCCTTCGTTTGAGTGCTCTTTGTGTAACACCCACCTCCGAGCTGTCCTCCACTAAACCTCTGGTCCACCTGCTGTCCTCTTTGATTTCCCCTGTTTGGACCCATCCCCAAGCAGGGCAAACATAATCCATGACACTGGAACATTGGCTTCATTGTCAGGGCGCTGGCATCGGAATAGAGTGGCGTCACGTCACTCTGTTATTATACTCCCTAGTTGTGCACTGGGGTTTTGTTTTGCTTAGGAGAACAAAAAGACCACCTGTGGGAGGTATTTTATGCTCTCCTTTGTCATTCAGTGCCTCGGCATTCAATATCTGCAGACATTGACCGAGAGTTGGGAGAAAAAACTATCTATACATTCACTAGCTAAACTACTAGTACAATGTATGCATGAAACTGCATGCTCTTTCAAAAGAGCATAAATAAAAATGACAGCATGAAATACAAGAAAACAGGTTGCGCCAAAAATATTATACAAAATATATTTTAAAAACGTCCAAATCTTCACAGTCCAAATATGTCAATCCCAGCTGTTTCTGGATTCTTGGGGAATGTTGGTTCTTGGTTAAGGTGCTTGCAAATATATGTAGGGAGACACAAAGTGACAAATAATAGTGCAGACTGTTTTAGCAGGAAAATAGGACTCACAACAGTGGTATATGAGGTAGCACTCATATGTTATGGAGCTTAAACTAGCTCTCAGTAAGATTGCTTGCAGCGGTACAATCCCCACTGGTGGATATAACTTATGAGGCGAATATCTTGATATGCAGGTAGGTATATGAAAGAAAAAGAAAATATCCAATAGTGCTCACTGTAAACATAAATATGTGATGCAGTACAAAAATTTATTATACTCACATTTGATAGAGCGTTAAGACACTCAAATATAAGCGCATGGGTGGTATAATCCCCAGGGATATGTTTGTAAATAGTTGTCCAGATCTGAAGTGAGGTGTGCCAGGAACAAATAAAATTTAAAATTGCATAAAAAGTGTAATAAATGGTCTATCACAACAAAGTGAATTAAAACCAAATATTACATTATTTTATTGTTTTACACCTTTTGGAGCAACCTGTTTTCTTGAGGGTATCCCCTATACCCAGTGTTTGCTGCCTAAGTCTAGCCAGTTGTTTCCTTAGCACTTATAACTATAAATAAAAATGACACTGCAGGTATGATTACTTGGAACACTCACAATACCAAAATCACTTCAGCAGTCTTTAGGGTAAGTAGTCAAACAATTTTAGTACAGTTTGACAATATATCTGGGTCATATTCGCTGCTCCTATTGCTTCCTACACCCATGAGTTTGATAATTTTTCCAGTTCAGCTACTTTGGCCTAAAATTCTCACTTTCTTTCAAGTCTCTCCAGTTACTGGTTTACTGAATATTCCCAAAAATGATACCTCTTCCTTATTTCTATATCTCGTTTATTTTTGCTTCCTCTTTGAGCCTTAATCTTTGTTTCTGGATCTGCCTGTTTCCAATTTTCCCTTGAACATTTCTTTTTCTACCATCTTTCTTTGAAATAATTGTCTTCTTTCATTCATAGTACTGTGCAACATACCCCATGCCCTCACCATCCTATCTTAGTTGTGCCTGAGTGATAGTGTGGGATTCAGGAACTCAACTTGGGTAGATGAGTCACAGATATACACCTAACACAACATACTCTGATTGACTGTCTGTTGTGTTTTTGTGATTTTGTATAAAGATATATTAGAATAATTATGGCAATAAAAGTAGACCAATCTCCAATAGTATCAGGTCATGTCTCCCTTGTGGGTTGGAATAATTTCACTGATTAAAAATTCCATATTCTATATAGTAGCAGTTGTGCTAGAAAAAGGCTGGCTAAAGACTATTCATTGCAATTAGAAGGAACTATCAGACACCTTAAAGAATAAATATGCATGTTATTAGCATATGTAAATTAAAATTAAAATTCACTTATTATGTGGTACCTTAATTGAGATGTGCATTTTAATTAAAGAAAGCTGTGTTATCTCTTGTAGTTTGGAACGCACAACTGTAATCCTTACATAAAGCGAAAAACATTGTTTATGTCTTCGCTGTTGAGCCAGGCTTATTGATTTTTATTAGACATTTACTTATTACTAATTAAACCAGCAAAGTCATAATTACCATTGTGATGCTAGTGTCAGCTAAACTGACAAATGTGATATACACATGCATTGTAAAAATTTTAACCTAGTATATTCACAACATTTTCCTGGATGTGTTATGGTACTTAAAAAATAACCTGACTTTTCCCATAAACATATTTACAGCATTGATAACATTAGTCGTGCAATGTAATATTTTATAGAAATATAAATCAACAATTATTTTCTCCTCCAATCTCTTCTTAAAATTGAGATACACTTTACATTGTTTTGAAAAGAACAGAGAATAATGGAATTAGCCTTTCAAGCGCCAAAAAATATATCAGTTAATCTGGTAAAAAATCTGGTATCCTACCACCAATTTACAGAGTATAGGTGAGAAACATTGATAGTAGAAAAATCTCCACCACTAGGAAATCCTTCATACAGAAGGCTAATAACCTCAAAATTCTGGATTCTAATCAGAATAAGCAAATAGTATGTATGGTTTATCGAGTAGGTGGTGCTATGGACAATCATTGTAATAATGCAGTAGTGCACAATCTGCCATACTGTACATTCATTTGAATAAAATTAGGCAGGCAAATCTGACATGGTTTTTACTGCAGCATAAGCCCTTAGTGAATCTAGACATGTCTTAAATATGGGGTATTATCAAACCCCTATATGTAAGAATCAGGGCAAGTAAGTGGTTTATGTACAGACATTGCCCAATATATGTACCAACCTGTTAAACTACTTGTGCTCTTCTTCTATCTTATTTTAAGGGTATAATGCAGTGTTCAACACACTCTCAGTCGGATAGCGCCATATCTTTTTGTAAATGTTTATTTATTTTATTTAACACCCTTTAATCACGTGCATTTACTTTTGACCAGCCTCATATGAGATATACCTCCCATTCTACCCACAGCACCAGCTGCTCAAGTAGACTTGCAAACTACCTAACTATTTGCAGATAAAGAGCAGGGCCTTAGGGTTTTCTGTCTCTGACAGTTACCCTAGGGGTACTGTTACTCTATTTAAGTGCTAATGGAAGTAGGGATTTGCATACTATAATCTCTTTGATCCAAACTAGATATTATCAAATGTGAATACAATGTACAATGTGTTGAAAGGGTAACACTTTTCTATTGAGAGGTTTCATATAAATACAATTAACTTAGCTGTTTTCTGCTCCTCCTTCTTCATGGATAGAATTTCTACTATATTTCTATATTATTATATTCTAATATAGGTCATCTGGCGATGCCTAGTTTTCTTCCAAGGGTAACCTTAGAAACCTTGGTTCCTCAGCTGATAACTCACCTGTACACCATTTGCATTATTGTACATATTCTACCTGTCCGTTACATTATTCACATTGTCATAGAAGCACCTCAACAGCCATTACCCCCTCAACACCATTTAAGCAATCAACCTAGGAAACAGACAGAGCAGGAAGTCCTCAACCTCTAGCTGATGAACATCTGGGGTTCTCTCCTATTCTTCAATGTTAGTTGCCATATTGAGCAAAAAACAGTATATACACTACAAATGTGAAATAGAGACGTATAACTGGAAGAATTCCCAGGTGTACCTCACAGACACCCAAGAGACAATATAAAATAGCAAAAAAAGGTGGAAAACACCCAAAATATGTATGAGTTAATATATGGATTGTAAAACAACCTGATATAGGATGTGGTCCATTTATGAATTCTGTGTAAGAATCAAAATGCTGACATAGCGTGATACAGTAAAAAAGGAATAAATGTAGAAATATAAGTGATTGTAGATACACTCACAAACGCACGTGAAATAAGGCTTTTCACCCTCTCAGGGGTAATATGTAGTACGATGAATGGACTGGAAAATCACCTCATAGGAAATATGCAAATAAAGGAAATCGAAGATAGTGAAGTTTGTTATAATAATACAAAATCACATTTATTGGTCACACTTACATGTGTGTATATCACAAAGAACGTATCTCCCAATAACCTGGAACTCCATACAGTGTGGTCATCAGTCCAAAATAGGATCTAACAGGAGTGGTTATGAGTAAACAGCCAGAATGCAAATAAATAAAAAGTTAAAAAGCAAAGTAAAATAACAATACTGAATATAAGTCCATATAGAAAGAATCCAACGCGTTTCGTCCTGTAGGGGTATAGGACTTCTTCAGGGATGTTTCTATACTCCTTTTCTCCGGTTTAAATACTGCTGCAAATCTTCGTTTGATTTCGTCCATTTGTTTTGCGGCGTGCGTTCCATCCGTGGAAGAATTATTATGTTTTCCTAATTCCAGTATTATTATGTTTCCCTATAATATTGGTAATTTTTATATTGTATCTATCTATGTATATATTTTTAGTTTTATTCCCATACCTACATCCTCCAATGCAATTTACACCGATTGGTTTTGATTTACTAGTATCTCAGGCGATGTTTTTGCCCTTTTGCTTTATGTCCCGTCTAGGTTTCGGTCTTTTTTCAGTATGCGCATGCGCGCACATTACGCGCATGCGCCATACAATACGGAACTGTTTTCCTGAATCACTGAGTATTTCGCGCCTCTGTGCGTTCCACGGATGGAACGCACGCCGCAAAACAGATGGACGAAATCAAATGAAGATTTGCAGCAGTATTTAAACCGGAGAAAAGGAGTATAGAAACATCCCTGAAGAAGTCCTACACCCCTACAGGACGAAACGCGTTGGATTCTTTCTATATGGACTTATATTCTGTATTGTTATTTTACTTTGCTTTTTAACTTTTTATTTATTTGCATTCTGGCTGTTTACTTATAACCACTCCTATTAGATCCTATTTTGGACTGATGACCACACTGTATGGAGTTCCAGGTTATTGGGAGATACGCTCTTTGTGATATACACACATGTAAGTGTGACCAATAAATGTGATTTTGTATTTTTATAACAAACTTCACTATCTTCGATTTCCTTTATTTGCATATATCCTATGAGGTAATTTTCCAGTCCATTCATCGTACTACATATTACCCCTGAGAGGGTGAAAAGCCTTATTTCACGTGCGTTTGTGAGTGTATCTACAATCACTTATATTTATACATTTATTCCTTTTTTACTGTATCACGCTATGTCAGCATTTTGATTCTTACACAGAATTCATAAATGGACCACATCCTATATCAGGTTGTTTTACAATCCATATATTAACTCATACGTATTCTGGGTGTTTTCCACCTTTTTTTGCTATTTTAGTTGCCATATTGCTAAACAATAACTCATTTTCTTATTGCCATTTGGATAATCAATATTGCGTCTTAAGTCTCACCATCAGCCATCACCCCACTATCTCAACCTGTAAAACATAATAAGTTCTAATGCTATAGTTAACACTTTCTCAGGGTGTAAAATCCCTGACTATTCTCAGTAACACCATGATATCACTGACAATGTCAATCTTCATACCTAAAAAAACTCACATTGGATGATGTTGGGTGAAGCATTTGTCCAAATGCCAAATATGTTTTCCAAGTTCTCATTCTAACAGCTGGTCTAAGGGCACTGTAAAGGTTTTTATAAAGCCCCCTGTAGCTTATTTGGCAAGCAAAGATTGCCGTTTAGTATGCAAATAATGGAATATAGATATTCGGACTCACAAGGACTTGACAAATACAGCCTAAATTCTGTGTATAAGTCATTAATGAGTAATAGTTTAAATAGGAACTGACACCTATGATATCTTTGCACAACCCACTAGCTAGCTACACGTTTCCCCCTTCTTTTCATCACATTCTTGCTACTTAAAAAAAAAAGATGATAGATAGACAGACAGAGAGACAGACAGACTGTCAAGCTATAGCCTGAGAGACAGGGTACAATAAAAGCATCCCATGATGCAGTGCATACCGGACAGTGAACTAATATAAGGAAGCCTAGCAGATTTGCACCCAAGGCATTATGGGAAGAAGGTGTTTGAGTGGATGCTGGATATCACGCGGACATGTCAGCTGAACTAATGAGAAAGTAAACATTTCAATAATCTCTTAGAATTAGATAGAACTTCAAATTAAATATATAATTTCCTGTTCAAAATTTAAATAATTTCTATAGTTGAAGTGCATTCTCATTTTGGATATTATTTTATTTTTGAGGCATCCAATCAGGAAGAGTTGTTTTTTAACCCCTTAAGGACCAAACTTCTGGAATAAAAGGGAATCATGACATGTCACCCATGTCATGTGTCCTTAATGGGTTAAGGTGCTTTTTAGATAATGTTGGATTTGTTTTTAACACAGGCAAGGCTGTTTCTTTTCTTTTGTCTGTCAGTGTTGATGTTGGCAAGCATAGAGAAGGAAATTAGATGGTATTAAACATCATTAATATATTTTGGTAAATATTTGCACGGTTTCCACACAAATTTGAACTGTAATATTGTTGTACAGTGGCACAGAGAAAATAACATAAACCTGGTTAGGTACAAACCGATTTAATGTTAAACTAAGTTTAAGAATGGACAAATGGTTAGATTTGATGAACATAGAGAGTGCAAATAAATACAAATGTCCAACAGATTCTGATGTATAACAAACTAAGTAAAATAACAGAGTGGTGATTTTTTTCTTTAACATTTTCTAATATCTAGATGATTCTAAGATTTCTACCAGACAATTATCTAATTTGAAACCTGTTTATTACTTGCTCCAAGGTATTAACCCTTGTGGATCCTTCAGCAGTCCTAAACCCAAGCCTCAAAGCACACCGTGTGCATACAGCAAGTGCAAAAATGACTGTAAATCAGCCACTTGGATGTGGACAGCACAGCTGCTGAATCACAGCAAACACTTGAAGTCACCAGTGGCCTTTCATGGTTCTGTTCCCAAAGCAGTCACCTTGTGGTGAATTAAAAGGTGGTTTGCTGAAAGATAGGGGGGAGGGAGAATTCACCACAATTCATTGTTTAGTAAATAGACCCTTACAATTAGGTCCTAAAGATGTGTATCAATCTACACACCTAGAGGGTCTGCAATTTAATCGTATAAAAACGACGATTTCTACTTTAGTAGGGTTTTTGCCATGTAGAATGACACTAAAATATTTTGGTATTAAAACTCTGTGCAAATAAGTAAAGCAAAATAGTTATATATTTCATATATTTTAAAACGTACTCTTTTGCAATGTACTGTATCCATATACTGAAATATACTTTTTTAATGATAGTAATAATGTAACATTCAGAACAGCTTTCACACCAGCGATGTGATTAATGCCTTGCATTGAGAAGTTGTGCTTGGGCTAAACCCCTCCTTGCAGCACTGGAGCAGACTACATTCAAAGATGGGCTTTCCACGGTCTGAACAGGGACCCCCTTCATTTAGCTTCCTCTGATTAGAATGTCCTCAATAAACATGTCGTTTTCGGCAAAGTGCAGTTTAAACAGACCAGAGTGTTGTATAAAATCTTTTTCCTTCTTTTTTTTTTTTTAAACGTAACTGTGAAAAGCAGAGCACTAATGATTGCACAAGACTTTTTACTGTAAGGAACACATAACTAATTTACTGAATATCACTCCTACCTATATCATGACAGTGTACTGAAAGTGCCTATAAATTATAAAAGAAAAAAACATGCCTATAAATTAGATTTTATTACATGTTCCCATCCCTTACAGAGGAGACTGCAGACTTTAGTACATCTTGCAAGTTCTATATATGTTCATAAAGTTTTGTCTTAAGGTGTTTGCAGTCAATTTTCCTGAGACAGAGCCATGACATTTATTTAAGAGACCCCAGCCCAGCCCTGCATTATGTAATGACCTGTCATTGCTGTAAGTTTGCCAGAATGGCTCCTTTAACAGCTACTTCCCCATCCTGGTACAGATCCCCATCACTACAGACATTAAATCGACCTGGCAGGTGTTAAAGTGACAGTAAGTGTGCTATGGGTCACCCTGGATACAATATATTTTTTACTTAATATCAGTAACTCCAGGTCCCTATATGTATGGTGTAGTGTGATTGCCTATAAGACATGCTGGGGCTAGATCGGGATTACAGGTTGCTTACCTGCTAGCGCAGCTCCGCAGGTGGTGATAAATACGGCGATGATGACCCCTGCAGATGGCATCCCATTCCTCAGGACCAGCACTCCTATCATCAGGGTGACCAGGGGCAGGCAGCGCTTGAACACCACGTACATGGGCAGACTGAGCCCCCGCAGGGACCACAGTGTCAGGGTGGACTGCAGGGTTGACAGGATGGTGACCCCGATGAACATGCGAGCTAAGCCCAGTCCGAAGGGGGGCACAGAGATCTTGCCCCAGCGCCGGAGGATCTCCAGTGTGAGGGCGGCGGTGGAGCTGGTGGTACATTGCACTAGGGTCAGGAAGGAGAAATGGAACCTGGAGATCATGAACTTCAGTAGAATGTTCAGAGAACCCGAGAACACCCCGTGTGCAATGGCCACAGATATACCCAGCATCCGCCCCCTGCAGACCTGCATCCTGACACCAAGGGACAGCCTGACTGTACTGTGTGAGTTTCAGAGGGGAATCCCCTGGTGGTAGACAGTCTGTGTGACTCAGTACATCAGCAAGTGTCCAGTGTATCCCCTGACTGCGTATACAGTGTATCCCCTGACTGCTAGTATACAGTGTATTCCCTGACTGCTAGTATACAGTGTATCCCCTGACTGCTTATACAGTGTATTCCCTGACTGCTAGTATACGGTGTATCCCCTGACTGCTTATACAGTGTATTCCCTGACTGCTAGTATACGGTGTATCCCCTGACTGCTTATACAGTGTATCCCCTGACTGCTAGTATACAGTGTATCCCCCGACTGCTAGTATACAGTGTGTTCCTTGACTGCTAGTTTACTGAGTATCCTCTGACTTCAAGTTCTGAATGTATCTCCTGGCTGCAAGTAACTCAACGTATGCACTAACCTCAATTACCCAATGTGTATCCTAACTGTAAGCGTATTCCCTGCCTGCTAGTGTATGCAAAGTATCCCTTGCCTGTTGAAGTTCAGTGCACCCATAGTATCCTGTGCATCCCTAGCCTCAGTGTGCTCATTGCATCCAGTGTTCCTTGTTTTCTAGAACTGAATGAGTTCAATGTGTCCCTTGCTGGCTAGTGCTTAGTATATCAGGTAAATCCTTGCCTGGCTATTGTTTGTACCACCCAGTGTATCTCCTACCTGATAGAAGTTAGACCACCCTGTGTACCCCTTGCTTTCTAGTGTGCTACTCTCTACATTAGAAGTGTATCCTCTGCTGGTGCTCAGAATACTACCCTCTACCTGCAAATGCTGCCAGCATGCAGTGCACCCTGCCTTGTAGTGCTGGGAGTGCCCAGTGTTAACCCTTGTTTGCCAGTGCCTACTGTATGTTCTGCCTGTGGGGAGATGTTCAGCTGGTTGATAGCAGCACCCAGACGTTGAATGAGATAAAACTATATCCCTGGATGAAAGTGATCAATGGGGGACAATCTGTGAGCAGGAAATCATCTCTGGAGAATTTTATCCCCCTCCCCCACACTGATCCAGAGTCACTGACGCATTTGGACCAGAGTATACTTTCCATTTGTCTAATTATATGTGAACAGTTTGTTGATTTTGCAAATTTTATTTTGACCCAATGAATCACTGGGATTAAATGGGGAGCAGGGGGACTTTTACAAAATTAGCGTAAAATGACAAGTCCTTTTTTCTTCCAAAAATGTTCTTTTTAAAAAAAATAAAAAAATATATATTATGATAATTTTAGCTAATGTTCCCCATATGTTTTACTTTCTACTGAAACATGAACCACAACTACACCCCTGTTCTTCATTTTGTACCATCACAGGAAATAGCGTGAAAGAGGTTTTAGTCAGGGACTACAGCAGATCTCTCTAAATCTATTGACTCCCCCAGCCCCCCCCAATAAAGTATCCTGGGAGTTTGTGAAAGATCTCAATAAATCTATAAATCTATTCCACTTATTCCAGTGACAAAAAAAGGTCCGGGGGGTCATTGACTCGTCTGCTAGTCAAATACATCTCTGATAATTGGCAATAAGAAGCACACTCACTGATAGCATACAGTGACCATTGAAGGAATTAACCCGTTTGTAGATTTGAAAAGCTGGCGTGTTAAGAGAAGTAAATGAGAAATACCATGATTCCTATTTTAAAGGTATGTAGTTGCTTTACTGTTTCTGTAATTTGTTGATCATTTATTTGCTTAAATAAGGAAATTCATGATCTGTTGGTTCACCTATTACTCAATGGGTTAAAAGTCTTGAACTTTTTAAACCTGTCACTGACTCCCAAATATGTAAAAGGGGGGATGGGAGGGTGTAATTGGGTGGGGGGCGAGGGGGATAGGCGGTAGGGTGGGGGAATGAGTGGGGCAGTAAAGATGGAATTTGGGAGGGGGGGCTGTCATTGTGTTTGTTTAACGTCATCCTATGATTGGCATGTTGCCTGCAACACTTGAATCCTAATGTCAAATTTCCTATATTGATTCAAAGCAGAAATACATTTGTGTATTGGATGACCCTGGCAACGAGACAATAAAGTGGAATGACTGGATACTGTGATACAAATAGCGTGTCAGAGATAAAACGTAAAAAGAGATCAAGTGAGGCAGAATTGCTAGCAAAATACATTAAATATAATCTCATATATAAATGGAGAGAGAGAAATCAGTATATGCAGAATGAAGAAAATAACCGGATTTTGTATCATTTAAAACAATCTTGCTTACAATAAATTGTGCTAAATATTTTTTTTTCAAAATCATATCATTTTACTTTCTTGCAGAACAATATTTGTTTTATCTGGAGGTATATCTGGCACTATTGTGGCGTGTCATACAGTTTATTATATAAAGGCACATGTTTATATCAATACAGTGAGGGGTAGTGAGTTTAGCACAAACTGAAGGATAAAATAGCTGTTTGGGTAAACACTGGAAAGGTAGTTTCTTAACTCTCCCCAACTCACTCTTTAGTAAATATGCCCCGTACTATAATTTAATCTATCCTGACACATAAAGCTGGTAAAATTTTGCTGATTATCACTGAGCTTTATGACAGTCAGATGACATGCTGAAACTGTCACAATATACTAGGCTATTCGTAACCCCTAGCCCAGGATGGAGGAACCCATATTAACTCATGTTGCATCTGTGTGTAGATCACATTCATCTCGTTAATCTCCGTGGCATTATTTACCCATTTAATATGTGTGTCAGTCAATATGCAGTCTGAGTACCTGTGTCAGGCTGTCAGTGTGTGTCCCCTATCTGACACTATCCATGCACCATGCTCCTGGCTGCTCCATATTATTCAGTGTAATGCTGACTCTGTCCTTGGTGAGCACAGTACAAGGCGTGCTGCCATGGTGCTGAAGAACAGCTCCGGCTCCCGGACGGTCTCCAAGCACTGCGGCAAGGCTAGGCCAGTGCAAGAGACGGGGACATGTACACCTAAATATACTATTATCACTATCACACTAAGGGGCACATACACCTACATACAGTATTATTCTCACACTAAGGGGCACATACACCTAAATACACTATTATTATTATTAATATTATTATTATTATCACACTAAGGGGCACATACACCTAAATACACTATTATTATTATTATCACACTAAGGGGCACATACACCTACATACAGTATTATAATTTTTACATTAAGGGGCACATATGCCTACATACACTGTTATTATTATCACACTAAGTGGCACATACACCTAAATACACTATTATTATCACACTAAGGGGCACATACACCTACATACAGTATTATTCTCACACTAAGGGGCGCATACACCTAAATACACTATTATTATTATTATTATTATTATTATCACACTAAGGGGCACATACACCTAAATACACTATTATTATTATTATTATTATTATCACACTAAGGGGCACATACACCTACATATAGTATTATTATCACACTAAGGGGCACATACACCTACATACAGTATTATTATCACACTAAGGGGCACATACACCTAAATACACTAATATTATTATTATTATCACCACACTAAGGGGCACATACACCTAAATACACTAGTATTATTATCACACTAAAGGGCACATACACCTACACTATTATTATCACACTATGAAAGGCATAAAAGGGGTTAACAGCCATTTAGGAGATATTCCCTTCCAGATCTACAGGTAGCTACTGTAGACACCAATCCACTGAACCGGAGAAGCATTCGAATGCTCTCAAACATACGAATGCTGTAAACAGCCGAATAGTTAAACCATTGAAAGGTTTACACTCCTAGCAGTCGAACTGGAACAGCATACAATAAATCCCCAAGAACGAGACAAGGCTCTGTGTTGAGGATCAAGCAGGAACAGACTGTGTCTTTATTGGCCTTATATACACATTTTACAGATAAAGTCCCACCCACAGGGTTTTGTGGAACATCCAATCAAAACATACAACACAGATAAACACTCCCACAATGACATCACAATCCCTCCTCTCTATCCTGTAGATAATTGGAAAGTAATCCAATTATCTCCAAGGACAGAGGCAAAACTCCATTAAGCACATGGAAGTAAAAAGACAGTAAAATACAATAAAATACACAATTTTTATTACATAAAATATAGACATGCAACATATCCCCAGATAGCCTAGGTCTGAGCGCACATTATTACTGAATGGCGCTCAGACCACACACATACAGTTCAAATGCCATGGAGCCAAAGTCTATTATTACACGAAAAGGCTCCATGGCATATCTATCTGGGTTAAATGAGTTCATTCATCAAATCTGTGAATGAACCGGCCGCGTGTGAACTGCAGACTGCTGCCATCCAATGTTCAGTATGCGTAGCCGCGGCCACCCAGTATAGTCAGTCAGTTAAGATGCGGTTAACCGCAGCTACTGGGTGGTCGATTGACGGCACATGCTCGTTAAGCCAAGGCTAACCGCGGCTTCTGGGCGGTCAATTGGCGGTGCTCGTTGGCTTCTGGGCGGCCAATTAACGGCGCGTGACAGCTAACCGCAGCTCCTGGGAGGCCAATAGACGGCTGTTTGTTCGGTAGATAGAATCTACCGAACATCCGGGCAGAAATACACTTTATAGAACTTTCTGCATAGGAAAATAAAGTATTTAAATGCCGGTCCATAGTCAAAAGGCAGCAGGCAGGCAACCAGGCTCCTCGAATGCACAGTGGCGAGATTGGTCTAGTCACACACCTAAATACTTTATTATTATTCTCACACAAGGGGCACATACACCTACATACAGTATTATTATTATCACACTAAGGGGCATATACACCTACTTATAGTATTATTATCACACTAAGGGGCACATGCACCTACATACAGTATTATCACACTAAGGGGTACATACACCTAAATACACTATTATTATTATCACACTAAGGGGCACATACACCTAAATACACTATTATTATTCTTACATTAAGGTGCACATATGCCTACACTATTATTATTATCACACGAAGGGGCACATACACCTAAATACACCATTATTATCACACTAAGGGGCACATACACCTACATACAGTATTATCACTCCGATATCACTATCCAACTTATTAATAATATCAATACTGCAGTATTCTACAGGTTAAAAATCATTAAAAAAAAAAAAACACCTACTAACTGTGTTCTGGATTTACACCTGCTGCAAGAATATACATAAAATTATGGATTTACAAGTTAAATCATATAAGCTAGCCTTTATGTATAAATATACACATACACACCTAACTTGTATTCATACAGAGGTTACGTCATTAACTAGTTTAGCAAACCAACCTGGTCCCTATTTTTGTGCTTCTACATTATAACACAGCTTACTAATATACTTACAGAAATCTAATTATCAGTATTCAACAAGCTTTGATCCATGTCATAGAATATGAAAAAGTGCATGCCTAATTAAA